CAAGTAAACCCACTACAACAAATAGGACGTGTCAGTCATAGCTAACGTAAGCCCCATTCATTTCAGCTGGTCTATTCTGAGTAGGATTAATATGCAATGCAACCCAAAATACTGGACTTTCTATTCTTGTTAAAACACAGAACTAAACTACAATGTCAGATGATTCTCACTCTTATTTGTTCCACACACACAAGTACAAAGCACGTGTATCCCATCAAGTGTGAAGGGTATGCTTGTGTACACGTCTCTGAAAACCTTCTCAAGCATAACAGGTCCTCTCCTAATTCTCCATCTACGTACTCATTATACTTGATGAGATGTCCTTGTATTTTCTACTTTGGGTATGCACTTTCTCAAAGGAAACACTGAGAATTGGCCCTTAGTCAATTATAAGGTGGGGGTTTTATGTTTAACATAGAGGATCCCTCCACCCTCAAGATTTACAGCACTGTTTTTCTCAGAAAGGCCGAGGCATGGTGTCCACACGCAAGCACGCAGGGTGGCCCATACCAACAACTGCACCAGCATCGTGTCGCTGGCCGTGGCAGATGCCACCCCCACAGAAGACAATTGCACTTAGCTTTATATATGCCCTTTGTAAAAGGGGAAAAGCACACGTCAGCTGTAGGACAGGATGGAAATGAAATAAGCAAATACCGGATTTGAAGAGTACTATGTTTAAGAAGGTCAGTATGTGCACTGTTTTAACACAGGCCAGAGACTCCCTTGGTTTTTATATAGGTACGATCTGGATAGAAACACTGACCATGATCTTTAACTTGCCAAAGCACTCAGAAGCGGGACCTGCAAGAAAAGGCTAGCGTTTGACTGTTCCTGAGCCATTTTAACGTCAGCCATACGTGACCACACCCCTTCCCTCACCCCCCTACCTTCCTGCCCCTCTGCTCTCCACAGCCAGCCAGTGCTCCAGAACCACTGGCCAAGTTCATTGTGCTGGAGGAATCTGCTCAGTTCTCACTGCCTTCTCAGTTCCTCCCTGCCCCCTCTCCCCCCTGTTGTTATTTACTACGTTTCTGTATGTCTACCAACCTTGGTGTTTCTCTGAATCTTACAATACCCTGTGCATGGATTGTGACAGGTTAGCTGCATAAGCACTCTCTCTAGGGAGAACTGGAATCATTACTGTTATGAATGAGTCCTGCCATTACTTCAATCACAGAGACAGAAGGTACCCCAAAGGTCATCTAGTCCAGCCCCAATCCATGTAGGCAATATATTAACATAACCCACAGCCTTTTTGTTCAGCTTTTAAGATTAATAGCAGCAAATCATTTGATGTGAGCCTTCCCCAGGATATCTGTGAAGATCCTAAGGAAGTTCACAAAACTTTTCAAACTGTCCGTCAAAATACTGCATGAACTTAGTTACACAAATTTTCACTCTGAATTCACCTCTGTCTACTAACAGAGCAGAAACAGCAGATAGAGGTGGATATGCGTTCCCTAGGCAGCAAGTGTAAGACTGGTGGTACCAGAAACACAAAATAAGCAAACACACAAACCTAACACCCGGGGAAGGAGAGTTCTTCAGAAGGAACAGAGCTATTGGCTGAAAATGTAAGACTAACATGGCACAGGAGATTGCAAATTGGACGCTCTACAAGAAGTAGAACAAATTAACCTCACTACCTTAGATTAAAAAGGGATCCCCATTACCTCCCTTGATTAGACATGCTCCATGGAGTCCAACAGGTCCACTGGGGAATTCGCAGGCAGGTAAATGCAAAGTGTAGATGGCAATTTTGGCCCCTGTATTTTTTCTAAACACTTGTGAATCCTTGAACATTTAAAAGCCACACAGCAAAGCCAGACTGAGCTTTCCAAGGTTAGCATGTGTATGGAGTGTTAAGTGGTGTTACGAGATGAGCAGCTTTGCTTTGCTCTGCTCTGTTTGTGCTGCTCCGTAAAGCATGATGTCCTGATAGCTCTATATAAACAATGCATGCAATCATGGTTTCAATAGGAAGGCCCTTTGGAAAATTAAGTATTTTGCATTCTTGCCAGAGGGGGGCATCCCATGAACATCACAAAGTATTATTGGTGTACAAATAATTTATGGTACTCAAGTATCGACACTGAACAGAGATGAAAAGTTCTCTAGCAAGGATGCTTCCCATCAGGTGAGTGGGTGGTATTTCCGGATCTCATAAATACTAGCTTCCTCTCTCTATATATATCCATATGAAAAGCTTCCATTGAACTCAGATTCAAACATTCAGCTACCATTATAGACTTCACAAAATATGCATGAATTCATATTAGGACTTCTTTCATGTTGCTGCTACACAGTGTAATGTAAGTCAACTGTGTTGTCCTTCCATTCAAGCAACCCAATTAGCCAATTAATTATGAGTGAGGCTCTGGCAATTCAGCTCAAAATGATTTGAGTTTATGTTTAAAGTAGCAAAACCTATGCAGTTCTAAACTGAAGGAACTTCCTAGGTGTTGAATATCTAATATAGTATGGAGATGTCACTATCGGGAAGCTGGCATATATTGCGACGGACCACTGGCTGATCTGGCTCAGAATTGTCTACACTAGCTATGCAGAACCTCAGCTCCCCCTTGGGTCCCAATCTGGCCCTCCTAAAGTCCCCAGTTGTCCATGCCTTCTTCCCACAATTCCTCCCAGACACCTCTTGTTCGATGGGTTTTTGGCTTTTGTGTAATGTTTCCCCATTCTAGAAGAAGGAAATGCTTCTCCCAAAGCTTCGGTACTGGCAGCAAGAGCTATAAGCTAAAATATGTTGACCTTTTAAAATATTCTGACCATGCTGCTTTAAGCTTTAGCCCACCCACAGCTGGAATGTGGCCCTTGAGAGTTTTAAGAGGACCTTCAGAATTCCTGGTCTACACTGACTGGCAACAGGTCTTCAGGATCTTTGACAAGCATCTTCTCCAACCAACCAACCAACCAACCAACCAACCAACCAACCAACCAACCTGAAGATGTCAGGGATAGAAACTGAGCATTTTTCAATGCAAAACACACACTCTGTTGCTGAGCTGCAGCCCTTCCCATATTCAAGTTTTCCCATACCACAAATTGTTACATTTTTAAGAATCCTGCTGAAGCAGAGCCAAGACCTATCTAGCACAATGCCCTGCTTCCCATTGTGGCCAACCAAGTATCTATGCAAAGCCCACACAAGTAGAACATGGCAGCAGTAAGCCCTCTCCCACAGTTGTTCCCTAGCATGCTGTCTCTGCTCCTGGAAGTAAAATAGAACCATCATGACTAGTAGCCATAGATAACCTCATCCTCCATGAATTTATCCAAGTTCTTTTATCAATGTATTTATCAAAGCTGCCCAAGTTGGTGCATTTCACATCTTGTGACAGCAAATTTGAACGCTTGATGATGGATACACTGTGAGAAGACAGAATTCCCTTTGCCTTATCTGAATTTCCTATCATTTAGCTTCATCAGATGAGCCTAAGGGTTTAATATTTGAAGAAAGCTAGACCAGTGGTTCTCAACCTGTTGTCCGTGGTCCCCTGGGGGCCTGTGATGTCATCACAGGGGGACTGCAAAGGCTTGAAAAAATGTTATTTTTTGCAGTTAAATCTGAATGAATGAATGAAAGAAAGCAAGAGGGAATGGAAAATAGAACAAAATCTTATTTCCCATGCTTGTTTTGTAAAACTTGACTTTTTAAACCTATTGCCTCAATAAAAAACAGGCAGAGGTAATGTAAAAATTGGCATCAAATTTGGAATTACTATGTCAAAATACTACAAAATGTACCATTTGAGCAAAAGGTGTGTTGATATTATTATTTGAAATTCATATGGAATCATTGCAATAAAGATATAAAAGGAGTGTGTGCATTAACAGATTATTTCCCCTTCTCTCCAAATCTTAAGACCCTTCATGAGAAAATTGAAATAAATATTTGACGCAATCTAGTGCTTTAAATCTTAAGTCTTGTTGGTCTGTGGCCACAAAAGGTATTTAAAGGGGGTCCATGGTAAAGGAAAGGCTGAGAACCACTGTGCTAAACAAATAAGGAAACTATTGTTTCCAAGTGTAGGAAACCCAAGTACGTAAGAAACTTTAAAAAAAAATTAAAGAACAATTCTTTTTAACTTTATCAACATCCCACCTTTCTTCTAACAAATGAAAATTGAGATTGTGTATGTAGGGTTCCTAAACAGTTTCTCATCCAGGCACTGTCCAGCTCTAGATCTCTTTGCCTTGTTAAGATCACTACTGCATTCTTTAGAACTGTGACCTTGGACTTCCTTTCCGAAGAATAGCTAATCTGAGACTGAAGATAATATTGTCACCACAGGAGAAAGCTTGAGAACAATCTTACACTGAAGAGATTGAGAATGCATTAGTAGGTCCATTTACTCAAGAGTAAATCCCACTAAACACAGTTGAATTTACCAGTGTGAGATTGCTGGTAATTTTTCTTCCAATTCCCTTTTGAAAGAGCATTGCACTATGAACAGTATAAGCAGAGTATATGCACTCAGAAATATGGCTGGATGTAACAGAATTCAATACTTCGCATTGTAAAGGCTGCTTAGATTCATGCAAAGACCTTGACCAGCCTTGCACAATCTCAGGTATTTCTAGGAATGACTGATCTCCATGCCACATCTCAAGTTGCTGGGGGCCAACTGAAAAGGAAGTAACGGCTGGGCTCGACCTCAATTTTGTGATCTCCTTAGTATCAATTTGACAGGATAAATTCAAGCTCAAAGTCAAACTTGATCTCAGAGAGGGAAAAAGGAGAGTGCCGGGGTACGGGGCATTGTTGAGGCTGATACCTTACGCCATATCCCAGCTTCCATCCCTCTCCCTCCTCTATGGTGCATTATGTATACCGACAAAAAGGGCTGTCCAGCTGAAATATAGGGCACAAGCTGTGGGGCAGCAGAACAGCCACCAGAGGTTTATGCGCACTGTGGACTTACAGCATTGGAGGACTCCTTCTTCTGTGGGACGGGGCAAAACAAAAGGTTTCTTACCTCTGGATTCCAGGAGGCAGAGAACTGCACTGGCAAGTCCACAAGACATTCTGGTGGTTCTGTGGGATACTAAGAGGGAGAATGGAGAAAGGTAACGCTTTTTACAAACATGTAACTGAGGATGGGTTAAAGAAATGAAAAGTAAAAGGTAGCGGGTAAGTGCACTTGAAGAACAGACTCTTTAAGTTTTCCCTGCATATAGAAATACAGTCATTTGAATTCCATTTGTTTATATGCAAAGACAAAACAGGCCATTTGCCTGTCAGCAAAATCACCTGGCCGCCTGCCAAAGGTGAGCTCGAATGCGAGACTCAACCTTAATACATCTTCTAATACCATTTCATTTCTACTGGTACTGCTCAGCAGTTTTACTTCTATGACCACCACATAAATATGACGTGTTCTATGTAGGGAAGATAGCCCAGGCATAATTAGAATGCTTCAAGCCTATGGAAAAAAGAAACTATGCGACTGATTCAACTTCACAGATTAACGCTCCAATTTCCATAAATTTCAGTGGTCACATGTATAGGCGCAGAATATATCCACTGTTTCTGCAGGTCCAATTGATATAAACAGGACTTGTACATACTGCTGAAAACAAAAGATAAATAAAATTGCATTTTGCTGACAGTGAAACAGAAGCGCCGATGAAAACATTAGGACTTTCCCCTAATCCACCTCAATAAAACTCGCGATTAAAAGGCACAACGCGAACATTTGGGGAGTTAAGAGGAAGCGAGGTTAAATATAAATACAATTTAAACCTCCCCAAATGAATCCACCCAACATTAATCCTGGATACTTGCCACCTACTACTTTGAATGTATTATCCTTCTACTTTGTTTTCTAATGCTATGGTCCCTGCTAAACTTAATTCAGTAGTAGACCACATCCAATTGGCTTTTATGGTAATGAAGTTTAGCTTCTCTATAACTTTATATCCGCTTCTGGTAATCTCTTACTGATTCTCACACCTGCTCCTCACCTAAGTTACACTTCAACTTATTTTTATTTCTCTGGCTACTTGGTATTCAAATTTACACTGATATTTTTATTATGTCTACCATGGTTTATGTTCCCTGCTGTACTTTTCATTTTTAAACGAAACTTTTATGGCTCGCAAAAGCTCTTATGCTTTGTCATTTTATCCTGCTCTTTTCAGTCAGTTATGCTAATGACTTCTGAACAAGTTACAAAATGAAGAGCGAATGAATGGTTAAGGAAATTCATGTGCAACACAGATGGGAAGGCATGCACCATTTTATGTCTCTACACACTATCTTCAGCAGATAGTTTCTTGGTTAAGTCATCCTCGTTCCTGATCCTCTAGAAAGCTGTTTGAACTGGGGTGTGCAAACATAGAGCTTTTCCTCCTTTAACATACCAGAGGAAAGATAAACTAAAACAGCATAGCAATGAGCTGGTCAGTGTGAAAATTAGAAGTAAACTTGACATTTGTTAGTTCTACATTTCAAAAGGCTCATAAATGATGGGGAGGAGGGAAGAACCGGTAATTGTACTGTGCGGTTCAACTCTGAACTTGTGAACTCATTTAGTGGGATGCACTCAATAAGTGTGCTTAGGACTTGAAGTCTGAGTCACTCAGCACAAAGGACTGCTGAGCTCATGTTTATGTACTGTACATTTTCCGAGCAAATACGAGATTTTGATACTTTACGCATGACATCCAATTAAAAGACAATATGCCTTTGCATACCGATTGGTCAGGAATACAAGCAGGAGGATGGGACTGCACCAATGCCCAAATTGCGTTGTCCAGTTTGGGTAGGACATATCCCTGACTGGGCCTTTGCCCGCAGAAATCACCCCATTGCCTTGGTCGGCCCACTCCTTGGGAATTTTAGTCTCACAGTGCCAGTCACTCCTCTTGGATGGGCAAGATCATAAGACGGTTCACTCTCAAAGAGCGATGGAATCAGAGGGATTCGCCAACGCTCTAGGACAGTGGTTTTCGACCACCAGCCCACAGTCCATGGGAGATTCCCTGCCAGTCCATGGGGGAGGGGGGTGCATACTGCTTGCTGCAGGCCAGTTCAGGGGCTGGCTGTGCTCCACCACCTCTTCTTCGGTTGGCGTCATGTCCACAGGGAGTGTGCTGGTGCTGCCAGGGGGGCCAGGGAGGGGAGCCAGCTTGGAGCCACGCTGCGCCTATTTCAGTATTTTGTTCTTTCGTTGGCATTTTTTGTTTCTTGGTTTCTGGTTGTTTTGGATTCCTCCCTCCCTCCCTCCCGCGGGTATTGCGTTTGGAAATTAACACACAGAATACTGTATTCTGTGTATGGTGCTTTTTGTTTCTGCCTCAGAGGTCCCCGTGGTGGTTTTCCTGAGTTCCCAGCTGTGGAAAGGTTGAAAACCATTGCTTTAGGACATGGGTCCTCAAACTACGGCCCGCGGGCTGCATCCGGCCCGCCATGCCCATTTATCCGGCTCACCTCAGAGGTTTCGGACTCCCCGCGCCCGCCACCACTGCCGCCTGCCTCACTGCGCAGGTGCCGAGGCAGCAGCTTGCTCACTCAGAGATGGTTTTGGACTTGCTGGGGGATCTGAGCAAGCAAGTCACTGCCGCACGCGCCCAACACCACCTCAACGGCCCGCGCCTATCGCTGCTGCCTTTCAACTGGCCCCCTGTTGAAGAAGTTTGAGGACCCCTGCTCCAGGAGATTTTTCAGTAGACAGAGCGGGATCTGGCACAATCACTCCTTAGTGCCCTCTTCAGCACTGTATTGCCCAGAAGGCTCCTTGGCTTCAGGGAAGCTCCAGTCAATGAAACGGGTCAGACAATGACCGGAGCATAAGGGGTGGTGAAGAGAACAAAGAACGCTGACTTTGTCATCTTCACTGCAGCCTCAAACTTCAGTGGGACTTGAATAAAAAATAAGGCCCAGTTTGGGGACTGAAAGGGTCATGCTCATCTTCTTAGGGAGACGGACTGGGGGAATGCACCCGTTACTACTTTTGAATCTCTCAAAAGCTTTTGATACCATCAGCCATAGTATTGCCACCCTTTGGAAGTTGGGAGGCCTTGCTTTAAAGTAGTTTGACTCATACTTGCAGGGTTGGGTCCACAGCATAGCAATGCATGACCACCTTGGCCCCATGGCAGCTGAACTATGAGGTGCCACAGGGTACCATCTTGTCCCCAGTGTAGTTATTAGGATGTTTGGGACAAGTGTTACCAGTAAGCTGATGATACCCACTGTAGGATCTGAATTGGGAAGAGGACCATGCATGTTTTGAACCAGAACTGGATGCAGTTACGACTAGGAACAGGGATAATAAACCGAAGCTGAAGCCCAGTAAGACAGAAAACTAAAGTTTGGCATTTCTAAGGTCTAAAAGGGTGTTTATTAGTTCCAAGGTCTAAAAGGGTGTTTATTAGTTCTGTTGGGGTTCCACTCCCTCTGCAGGAGAAAATACCTAGTGTGGGGATAATCTGGGTCCATCCTTGTAACTAGTGGCTCAGGCGACTTTGGGGCCCTGCGCCCACTACCGGTTTCAATTGATATGCAAACTACACCCATTCCTGAACAGGGATAAGCTACCCACAGTGATTCATGTACTGGTAACCTCATGATTAGACTACTATAGTGCATTCTAAATGGGACTGCCCATGGGCCTGGTGCAGAATGCAGCAGCTATGCCCACGCAAGAATGGCACTGGCTGCCTATCAGTTAAAAAGCCGAGGTTATGGCATTGTCAGACAAAGCCCTAACAACTTAGGACCAGGATGCCTAGCCTTGCCTTATATGGTCCTAAGGAACTGTTAAGGTCGCTGAAGAAGGCCTTGCCGGACATTCCAAGATTACTGGAATGTCACTACGTAATCCCTTGATGGCGGGCCCTCTTGGTGGCAGCCCCCTCCTATGAAAAAACTCTCTTGTGCCACTCAAGAGACAGAAGATTTGGTATCTTTTAAACACCTCCCAAAATTACACCAGCTCACTGAGACTTGCCCTGGCCCATAATTAAAGCATGGTGTTTTATTGTACAGTTCCTGTCATGTTCTGTGTTATAATACTCATTATTCTTCTAACTATAATTGTAATATTTATAAGGAAACCACCGAAGGATTTTTAAAATATTTGGCAGGATATAAATAGTACCGATAAATAAATAAAAATAAACAGCATGCTGTTTCAGCATGGCTTTTCTTAGGTTAAGGCCTTGTGTGCCTTTAATGTGAACAAGGCTCTGAAAATGCATCCAGTGCAGGGCATGGGGCACAGTGGTAACTCCGGAAGGTCTTGCACCCTCTATTTTGTCTAGGTAGCCATTTCCGGCTACCTAGATACAGCACAGTGGAGGGGAAGGGGCTGGCATTCCATTTGGATATGTCATAGGCTGGACATGCACATGGTAGGCATGTTATGAGCAGAGCTGGCTGGAGCCAGGGGTCAGACTAGATGGCCCAGGAGACCCCTTCTGACCTGCTCTGTTTCTAAATCACTGGCCCCATCTTCCACTCATTCCTGCCAAGATTTGGATCAAATTATGCAACAAGAGAAATAGGTCATGTATATTGCCTAAAATGGTTGCTGGTTATGGTTGAAGAAACCTCTAGAGGACAAATATGTGTGTAATCCAAATTAACTGTTTGTCAGAAAGAAGATAATAAGCAACGTGACTTATTTGGCTTAAAAACAGAAACATAAATGGTAAGGGTTTTTGTTGCTCAAGTGTTAATTTTATTGTCAACTCTTTTTGTTATTCAAGTGTTAATTTTATTGTCAACTCAACTACTAGAACGAGATAAATTTAAAGGAAAATTGGTAGAAAAAATATCACATATTTCTTAAGTAATTATTGTAGGTTTTAATCTTGACAAACATCTAGGAAACGTTTCAGTTTGGCAAAAGCTTGATTTTGATCGATACAGAAATGTAATTGTTATTAAATTAGATTATTATGACATGACTATGGAAATAAATAATAAAATAATAAATTTTCACTGGCAAGCTTATTCTGAAATGGAGCTAAATAGGTAGATGTAGATTATCTGTAATTCATAATTTATAGATATAATTGGTTATATTCTGTATTACAT